CCCCCCCCCCCCCCCCCCCCCCAGTTGTAAGCCTTACAAAACCTTCCGTTCCAACACACAATTTCTTGACACGCTGAAAGTTAGGAATTTCCCTACTTTAAAACATTCCTGAACTTGATCTAATTAATCTTACTAAAAACTAAAGTCATGACTCACTAGTTATTTGGGTGATCAATTGTTTTGATGATTTCACTACAGCTGGCCCAGTTGCTGGGAAATGCTGGGAGTTGTAGTCCTAACCCTTGGAAGGCACCCTGTATAGGAAAGCTATGCCAGAATGTCAAGCCCTTGCATCCTGAGGTGCTGAGCATATGCCAAAGTTATGATCTGAATACATAAGTTGTATGGATTTTGCTAGTTGACACATCAGATTTGTCCTGGTTTGGAATGTTTGGAACTGTGGGAAGGCTGCCTTGGGCTTCATGGAGAAGCAGAATATAAATATACTGAAGAATAAACTATCAGTTCCATGAATAAGATACAGTACAAAGTTCTTAAATAGATGTCTCTTAAAGTACAGGAAAATAATGTATAGAGGATCTGCTTTATCTTGAGCTGATAACTAAGGTTTTAAACCTTTTTCTAAGTTAAGGGTGGGGAATCTGGTTCTCAGCAATACCTGGTCTAATAATATATGAAGGATTACAAGTTCCTCTTTGTCTGGGAAGTCACCAGCAGTCCAGTGGAAGTCTTTTGTCTTACCCTGTTCTAGCAGTATTGGAAATCTTCCTATTTTAATTGTATGTGCATTTCAGCCAGAAAAAGGTGAATTTACTTTCCCTATCCCACAAGGCATTAAGAAAAATATGTAGTTCATTTGTAGGCCACACATTTTATGTGTACAAAACCCTAAAAGCAAACACTTCCAGCAGCAATTGTGAAAGATATACCTCCATTACTTTTATCAACCAAGAGGGGGAGTTCTCTGCTGTTCTTCTGTCTCTGCATCTTCTGGTGAAGGCAGATGATGGGAGCTATCTCTTCACACAGCTCAAGTGATTTAAAGCCTGTGAAGGTCACCAAGCAAGCATAGCTCTAAATGAGAATTTTACAAACACATGGGCAGTAAAGCTATCAATTGCTGGAATCACAGTGTGTAAAACAACAGTTTGTTGAGTAAGGCACAGTATCTTGGCTTCTTCAGCACCCTAAGCCAAAACCAGAAGTCACAGTATGGCTTAACACCTTGTGTGGGCTTCTCCTGAGACTATTAGTTAAGATAGTTATATGCCACCTCCGGAGTCAGAAGGAGAACCATCCTGAATATTAATTCTTGGAGACCACATGTCCTGCTTGAGATCTTCTTAAAAACATGTATTTGGTAAGAAAGAAAGTTGGGCTGGATAATTTTTGTCTAACCCAGTAGGGCTGTTTTTTTTCATCCATCCATCCATCCATCCATCCATCCATCCATCCATCCATCATGTAGCAGGTATTTCAATCCTTGTAGCTCATTCGGGGGGCAACCTTCCTCCTGTTTACTTCCTTGGTCTCAGAGGCGGTGCTGCTTATAAACAATTCTGTGTGCCTGTTAGACTTTAAGAATCTATTTTGCATCATTTATTCTACAATGACTGATTTGCCTAACTGGGATTAGTCATGTAGGAAAGCAAAAGCTATGTAGTCATACATGGCTCGGTTTTGTACAAAATACAGATTTGGCAGTGATCCGACATATGCTGCCACAAAACAATTCAGTCTCAACCGTGGCAGGTTGTGCTTCTCTCTTCCTTTGCTTTTCTGGTGTTTCTTTTCTTCACAGGCAAGTATTCTCATAGCAGCAGATGGATATCAGCTGTTCTTTACATATGGCATCCCAGAATGGCAGGACAAGGGCATTTAACTCAAAATGCTATAGAGCAGGGTTCCTCAACCTCAGCAACTTTAACATGGGTGGACTTCAACTCCCAGAATTCCCCAGCCAGCAATTCCCCATGGCTGGTTGGGGCATTCTGGGGGTGTGAGACCACCCAAGTTAAAGATATTGCGGGTGGGGGACGCTGCTATACAAAACCCATATCCC